TTGTATTCCCAATAATAAACTGCAGAACTCTTGAAGACACAGACTTTAATGTATATGAGAATAAGCAGTAGTGTATGGATTTGAACACACGCACGAAATTTTTTAAACAGGTCAAAAGTTCGTAAATAAGGCTACAAATGTATATATGGAGTAAGGAATGGGATAGTTGATTATTCATATTTTTATTAAAACTTTTTATTATAAAATAAATATCGTTTTCCAGTATGCACTAAGATTATGTAATTTATATGCTTCTTTTCAATCATATGTTAAAATTATCTATACCTATATGAAGAAAGCATTCTGAAAAAAAGCATGGAATTGTATTCATGAATCACTTTGAAATGAATCTTTCAATTACAAAAGATCAATCTTAAGACATTTGATAGACATCTTGCATAATCTTTTCAAGACTTTTTATCTCTTTTTGAAAACTATACTTACCTTATTAAATGACAAATTCAAAGACTCATGCAATGTTACAGTGAGAAGGGAACTTAAAAATCACTCAGTCCAATTCTTTTATTTTGCAGGTGAGATAGAGGTTTAGTGATGTAATCTTAGCTCAAAATCACATAGCTAAATAGTGCCAGAGATAAGACTAGAACTCATTTCTTCCAAAGTCAAACTCCAAACGCTGAAGAGACTACTGGCAGCCTAACTTAACATTCACTCAGAGTCTCAGTAATAGTACCCCAGTTTTATTTGGGGGTCACACATAACCTCTAAAAGACATTTTCCAGCCTCCCTTGCAGCCAGATGTGGCCATGTGACTACACTTCAGCCAATGAGATGCAAGGGTAAGTATGAGGCCTTTTAGGAAGTCTCCACAAAAGGGAAGGTGTATACCATTCTCCCTTTTCTTGTCCCTTCCCATTTCCTGGAATGCAGATATAATAGCTCTAGTTCCAGCAGTCATATGGGACCATGAGGATGAGGGCTATACCTTGGGGCTAGCTAAGTACAGAGTTAGAATGAGCCTGAATTCCTGATAACCTTCCTAAAAATTGGCGGGAGAATGGTTATGGGGTATGAAAGAAAACAAATCATTAATATGGACTCCAAGATTTTGGTCTGAGCAGCTGGTAGAATGAAATTGCCATTTACTGAGTTGGGAAAGGAATGGGTTTCCTTGGGGGGCAGGTAAGATGAGTTTGGCTGCATATAACTGAAAAACTCAAAGTAATGGGGGCTTAAATAACATAGAAACTTATTTATTTTTCACATAGAAGAAGATCCAGAAGTAGGCTCTCGTCAACTCTGTCTTCATCACGGACCCAGACCTGTTCCTCATCACTTCCACTGCCATCTCTCAGGTCCCAGCCACTATCCCCTTTCACTTAGTTTACAGCAATAGCCTCCTCACTAGCCTCCCTGCTTTCATTCCTACCTGCCCCCACCTCTCCCCAGTCTGTTTTCCACACAACAGCCAAATGTACTTTTTTAAAACATAAGTGGGCCCATGTTACTCCTTTACTCAAAACTTTCCAAGTCTGCTTCTGACTCAGAGTAAGGGCAAAGTCCCTATTGTAGCCAACCAGGCCTGACATGACCTGGTCCCCATCCTATGTCTCTGACCCCACCCACCACTCTTCCCCTCACCCTCTGTGCCCAGCACTCTGCCCTCTTGGCTATCCCTTGAACTTACCAGGCATGCTGTTGGCCTCAGCATCCTTCTGCTTTTTGGAACTCTCCCCCCAGATATCCACTTACGCTCTCTCTTACCTCATTCAGGCATCTGGCCAAATATCACTTTATCAGGAAGGCCTTCTCTGACCACATATCTAAAATAGAATCCCATCCTACTTTCTACTTGTTCTTCAGAGTATTCACCACCACATGATGTTTGTTTATATTCATTGTCTATCTCCCCCTACTAGAGCCTTTGTTTTGTTACTCTGAGCTACTTGCTATCCCCATGAAAGCTTGTTAAATATTTGCTGACAACAAAAATAAGTCAGCTCCATCTTATTAGTTAATTAAGAAGATCTAAAAGGGTAATGTGGTTTTCTGTTCTAATAATAATTATAGTTAATAGCAACCACAAAACATTAAAAATTTCGAAATAAGAATAATAGACAGCAGTACACCAGGCCAATTTGTAAGACTGACTTCAGAACCAAATGTCCTTTTATAGCAGCCCAAAAGATACAAAGCCTTTTCTTACTGTTCTCACATGACCCCTTCAGTGAGAACATGGGGGTCAAATTGACCACTCATTATCTGGTGATGAACACAGCTGTCCTCTAATAACTCTCCAGCTTTATGGAAAATACTAGTGATTTATTCATGTTTTCAAACATGAATAAATAAAAGCCCACTAAAACAGATTATCTTTTCATTCACAGTCTATTTCTTTTCAAAGTTAAAAAGTTTTCCGTTGGACTTGTAAAATGAAATAAGAATCTTTTTAGTAAACTTTACTCACTAAATGGTTGATTGAGTGAGACATTTTTGGAGACAATGTATTACTAATATTTGTTTTCATGTGGAGAAGAAGCAAAGCCTGACAGGTCATCACAGTTCTTATTTTCAAAGGAGACTAAGAAATAAAGTCTAGCTCCTTCAAGAAAATAGAATGAAATTTGCAAAGAGAAAACAGCAAGTTATTTCTAAAGTTTTGCTTCAAAAATACATACTCCCTTCACACATTCTCGGTGATTGTTGCTTCGAGCTGTTAACATATTTCTTCTTGGGAAAAAAGTGCAGCTTCCAAGCAAATTAAGAGCTTGGCTCTGAAGACAGATCTCCCTGCATCTGAATCCCATCTCTACTTTGCCGTGTGTTCTTGGGCAAATCATCTCACTTTTCCTGCCTCAGTCTCTTTTTCTGGAAAACTGAGATAAATTTCACAACGACCCTAGCAGGCAAATGGCTATTAAAGATAATGTGTGTAGAGTGCAGAGCACAGGATCCAGCACCTAGTAGATGCTCAATAAATGGTAGCTGTTATTAGTCCTATAAGCAATGATCTGCAGAAGCCCACTCAAGCCACCAGCACTTTTAAACGCAATATACAAAAACAATTGATTTTTAAAGAACGTTTGAAAATACTGAAAGTGTGAATAAAAAATCTCCCATCAGTATTATGAATAAAACCTCCCCCAAATAAAAGAGAAGTGGTATGGACTGTGTGGATAATTTTCCCTCTAACAACTTTGAAATAGTGACCTCTGCTGGCCTGTGGAAAACACGAGCTTTCCCACCAAAGCTTTCATGATTGAGCAAGGGTTGAGTCAGCCAGTCTTGGTCCCTGTCCCTGGAACAAAAACCAGGTGTTGCATTACAAGGGACAGAAATCGTCACGAGGGTTACCACGATGTAATTGGGATGTTAACAAAATTAAAGGCCAGCCTTTCCATTTGCTCATCCGCCCAGAAGATTCTTTTTTTCAAACCCCATGGTCTCCTATTTTTAAAATGTCATAATTGCATGCAAATGTTACAGCCGAAAAACAACACAAGGGGCATTAAAAATCAATCTTCCATGTAAGCCTCAGATTTTCCAGCATGAAGATCCAAAAGCAGAAGTGGTGACAAATGTGTAGAAAACAGAGTGAAAAAGTCAGAATGCATCATTAAGAATATTACAACAAAAAGAGGGAAAAAATCTTTGGGAACACATGTCCGATTCAGCTGGGGTAAACAGCCAACTACAAAGAAGGCTTTAAAAAATCCTGCAAACCTCTTACAGATATGACCCAGAAATCCAATTAGGAAGCAGTACGACCCCTTTCTTCAGGCAGAAATACGCTTGATGGAAAAGGCAGCTCAACAGTCTATTGGCTAGGGTATATAGACATGAAACATGTTCCCACCTTTTAAAGGTGTGAAATAAAACAGAGGTTGCAAAACGGCAGCCATAGGGCTGTGTAGTTTGGTTTGGCACTCGCTGTATTTTTATTTTTTTTAATTAATTAGTTTCCAACACTTTAAAAATGGAGATTTCATATCAAAATCTGAATTTCTGCCTTCTTATAAACAAATTGGAGATCTAGACATAGCAGGCAAGCATTCTCCCACTGCGACAATCAACTAGGGTCCGGCAGCTGCAGCAGTTGTCCCCTTAGAAGCAGCACGTGCCCTCCAGTTTGCCATGTTCTCCATTTCCCATATAGCAGGCTCACTCATCATATCACCTGCCTGGCTTCTGTAAACACTTGAGTTTGAGACCCTGAGTTTCTAACAATCCTAAGGCACTGAACTGTATTCAGTTCAAACAACTATCAACCGTGTGCAAGATACTTTAATAGGCACTGGGGATATAAAGAATAAAACATGATCCCTGAACCCAAAGAACTCATGGATCACTTTTTCCAGTGAGAGCAAGTAAACTGGTAATTAAAATACATTACGACATGTGCATCGAAAAGTTATAGAAGTGGTAAAGACTAAAGTGATTAAATTCACTTTCTAGCTTTTTGAGATGGTACCCAGTTCACCGATGTTCAGCCTTTATTTTTTTCTAATATGTATATATGCATTTAAGGGTATAAATTTCCCTCTAAGCTCAGGATTAGCCATACCTCACGAGCTTCCACATGTATTTTTATTATCACTCCTTTAAAATCATTTTTCTAATTCCTACCTGTGTGATTTTTTCTTTGACCTGTGGGCAGTTTTAAAACATATTTAATTTCCGAACTTACAGAATGTTCTAATTATCATTTAAAATTGATCTTTACCTTAATTGACTTACAAACATACTCTAAATGATCTTAATGCTTTGAAATTTGTTGAGACTTGCTTTATGGACCAACATATGGCCAGATTTGTAAATGTTCAACATGAGCTTGAAGAGAACGCATGTTCTTCAGTTGTTAGGTGCAATGTTCCATATATGTCCATTTAGATCATGTTTGCTGATTACGTCATTCAAATACTCTTCATCCTTACCGATTTCTAAAATCTACTTGTTCTATCAGTTATTGAGTAAGGTATAAAAAATATCTTATTATAATTGTGGACCTGTCTGTTTCTCCTTCTAAGGGGTTCTGCCCATTTTTGCTTTTATGTATTTTATTAAGGTATAACATTCAGAAAGTACAAACATCTTACATATACAGTTCAATGCATTTTTATAAGTATATACCCACATAATTCAAATCAAGACATAGACCATTTCCAGCACCCCAGGTTTCCTCATGCCCTTCTAAGTCAATAATAGGTTACTCCTCTCTCCATTATCATTATTCTGACTGAGGGTGATAACATTGTTTTACCTGTTCCTTGTTCCTGAAATGCATATAAATGCAATCGTACAGTGTATATATTCCTTTGTGTCTGGCTTTTGTTTAATATTATGTCTATGAGCTTCATTCATATTGTTTCACATAGCGGTAGTTCATTCTTTTGATAGCTACTTAAAATTATATTGTAAATGTTTGGCACAATATATTTATCCATCTGTCGATAAACATTTGAATTATCTCCAATTTGAGAGCTATTATGGAAAATCTTGCTATAAGCATACTTGTAAACATGACTTTCAGTGGGCATATGCACTCATTCCTCTTGGGCATATACCAGCTAGTGGAATTTAATAGATTCTAAGATAGGCTTGTTTAGCTTCAGTAGATATTGCCCATTTGTTCACTCCTTCTGGGGATTACATGAGAGTTTTAGTTGCTCTACATCCTCATCAACACCTGTCATTGTCAGTCTTTATTTTTAGCCCTTCTGATAGGTGTGTAGTGGTATCTTCGTATAAATTTGCATTTCCCTAGTAACTAATAGTGCTGAACACCTGCCTTCTCTCATAAGCCATTTGAATACTCTCCTTTTTGAAGCGCCTGTTCATCTTTTGCCCATACCATTTTAACATACTTTGAGGCTATGCTACTAGGTGCATTAACATTTAGAACTTTATTTTTCTCTTTTACTATTTTGAAGTGCCCCTCTTTATCCCTAGTAAGGCTTTTACCTTAAATGATACTTTGTCAAAAAATTAATACAACTATTCCAGCTTTTTAGTGTTTGCCTATCTTTCCTATCCTTTTATTTTCAATATATCTATCCTTGTTTTAGATGTGGCTCGTTAACAGCAGTTGGATTTTTAGTTTTTTGCTTTTTGATCAGAACATTTAGTCCATTTATATTTAATGTAATTACTGGATATACTTGGGTTTAAATCTACATCTTACTATGAGCATTTTCTTTATCCTGCCTATTACAGATTTAGTTTTCCTTCCTTACTTTTAGATTCTTGTTATTCCATTCTTTCTGTCTCAGCTTGAAACTTTTACTATCTTCTTAGTTATCCTTAAGTTATACGCATCTTTATTATATCAAAATCTACTGCTGACACTTTAACTCTCTTCCCAATGTTAAGACCTTAGGATATTTTAACTCCCAAATACTGACTTATATATGTTATTGTGTTGTGTACTTTAATTCTCCATATATTTAAAACCTCATCAGACATTGTTTCATAAGTCTATTTACCTTTTTTGTTAATTTCTTCCTGTTTCTCTGTCCTTCTTCTCTCTGAACAAACTATCTTTATAAATTAAGTTCTTTTTAATGTGACCTGTTGATGAAATTTCTCTTTTGTTTGCCTGAAAATGTTTATTTGTTATTTTTGTAGGTTAATGCTGGGTATGGAATTCTAGGCTAGAAAATTTCTTTCTGCACTTTAAAATTTCCATTCCACTGCCTTCGATTGTTCTTGTTGAGAAGTTAGCTTTTTAGTTGTTGCTCATTTAAAAATGGTCTTTCTTCTCTCTACTTTGAAGACACTGTCTTTGGTTTTTAGCACTTTTACTATGCTGTACCTTAATGCGCATTTTTATTTATGTTTAGGGTTCACAGAGATTTTCCAACCTGCCGCTCGCTTGATGTCTCATTGACTCTATAAAGTTATTTGCTTTTAAATCTTCAAAATTGCTTCTGTTCCATTAAATCTCTACCTCCTTCCAGGAGTCCAATTAATTACACTCATAAACTTTCTCATTGTATCATCTGTGTCTTAACCTGTTTCAGTATTTCGATATTTTTGACTTTCCATGCTTTATTCTGCATAATTTCTTCTGCCCTATCTTCCAAGTCATTTTTCTTAAGCTATGTCTAATCTGCAGAAACTTATCTGCACTGACTTAATTTTAGTTATTCTATTTTTCTGTCCTAGAATTTCTTTTCAATTTTATATATATACATATGTAGTTTATGTGTGTGGTTTCTACTACACATATATGTAATTTCTACTTCTCTAATGAAAATTTCAATTTTAAATCTTATTGAACATAGTAATCACAATTATTGTAAAATCTGATAACTCTAATATCTGCAATCCATATGGGTCTCTTGTCTGTTGCTTTTGTTGCTCTCATTCATGTTGTCTTGTTTCTTCCCATGCCTGGTTATTTTTGTGTACAGATATTGCATTTGAAAACTTGTAGAAATAATTGAGGCCCAGGGTGCTGTTTTCCTCTGGAGAGGATATGATACCTTCTCCCAGGATCTAGAAACACTGGCAAACAGAGATTACCACAATTGAATGAGAAGTCTTAACTGAACCACAATTCATGGAATCTACTTCCTCGTCACCCTTCCTACTAAAGTGTAGCCCTTCCTGCTAAGCTCCAGCTCAAAACTAGGGGGTTTGCCAGCCCCTCTTTGCAGACCCTGAACCCCAAATGTTGTCCCCTGTCTTAGGAGGCTCTTGAAATTGCCCCTACCCTCCACTCTATCCTAATCAACAAAGGTAAGCTCTCAGAAGCCACAATGGCACTGCATGACCTTGTTCCTGAAGCCTAATTAGACCCTTGGACACTGATCCATTTGGACTAATTTCTTTCAGTCAAGAATTCGGTTGGCATGCAGGAACAGTTGGTCAGTCTTTAGTGTATGTAAACTCAGGAGCTAGAGGGCAGATGGAAATAGTAGAAAGCCAGCAGGCAGGGAAAGAAAAGAAAGAATTTATGCACAAAGAATCATTTAGAAATCCTGAGAGCTTTCTAGATTCTTCAGGGGACCCAGAGCAGGTCTATACTTGTGCTAACCAAGGCTTTCCCGTGCCCTTTAGGTTCAACTCCCATTTTTTATGCTTAAGCTAAACTGAGGTGGAGATTGTGTCCTTGCAACTAAGGGCCATAATATAATTAGGGAGGGACTATTGTTTGATATTTTTTCAAGACTGTAGACTGTTACTAATAAAGTGAGAGATAAAAAGGGTATCTTCAAAAAAACTATCAAAGTAAAGATCTGTGATTTAGAGGTCACCTTCCAGTGTTTCTCTGCCAGAGGCAGAGAATTACTTTAGCACCAGGATCACTTGTAGGACACACTCAACGGTATCTGGTAATATATGTGTGTGCAGGGAGAACATGAGCATTTGAGGGCATGGTAGAGCCACATAGCTCCTGCCAAGTAATGCAAGTGACAAAGTGGGCTCGCACCAGGACACCTAAGGAGATGCATTTAGTGCAGACTAGGAACAGAATAGATGCTCAATCAAAACAAGACAGCAATAGCAAGACACATCAATTTTGCAAATAAGTAAGAAAAAGGGTCTGTGAAAACAAGGGTTGTTTCCACTTACTTCTCACACACAAGTGGTAAGCTCTCTGAGGGCGAGGTCTGTGACTCTGTACCATCAGTGCCTGTCACAGAGCTTGGTAGTGAGTGAATGCTGAGTAAATGGAAGAATTAACAGTATTCTACAAAAGCAAGTCTACATACCTTGTCTTAAAACTCCTGAGGCCAGATGTTTCAGAATAAAGAATTTTTCAAAAAGGTAATAGTGATGCATATTATATACCACTCCCATGGGGTCTGCGACAGCACCTCATAATCAAACATCCTACAACAAATATAAGCATAGTTATACTACATGGAATAAATTAAGTCTGCAAACAGCCTCCTATCAAGTCAGTTAAGGTCAGGTTTAGCTGCCAAGTAAATTTTGTCACCAAACTTACAAAGAAAAAAAAACAAACGCTCTGGATCTCAGAATTATAAATAAAGGTCTGCTAATTTTCACTTACTTTTTGGGAAACTACTACTGTTAGTAGAGCTCATAGTCTACATGGACTTCATTGATGGAAAAGTCAGAAATATTAAAATGTAGACAGGTTAAGATACAGATGATATACTGAGAAAGTATAACTGGAATCCTGGAAGGACGGGGGCAGATGTGTAATCTTAAGTTACAATTCAATATGATGAGGTCCAAAAAAGAAGAAATGACAACATTGAAAAAAACACATTGAAATCTCTGGGAGTATGTGGGATGGCTAAGCTCATCATGAAAAATGAGACGTTTGCCAAGACAGAAAATCGGGCAAAGGGAACAACATAGGCACAAGCACATAACAGTGTGAAAGAACTCAGGTCGTAGCAACTGCTACAATTCAAGACAAGCATATGAACGTCTCAGTATTTCTCAGCCTTACCTATGGGATCTAACCATATTCTTCCAGCTTTCCAATAAATCTGATGGAAGAAATCTACCTTATAGCAAATTATAGTTCATATGCTTCACTTATCTGAGAACACCACATATGAGAAAATCCAGTAGAGCAGTGATTCTCAGTGTGGTCTTCTAACTAGCCGCATCACCTGAACACTTGTTAGAAAAACAAGTTCTTGGGCCCCACCCCAGACTTAATCAGAAACTCTGAAGGTGGGACCCCAGTAATGTGTTTTAACAAGCATTCCAAGTGATTTGATGCATGCTAAGTTTGATAACTCCTGATCTATAACAAACTCTTCTCACAGTGTGATTTTCAGACCACTGCTGAGAACTCATTATAAACTACAGCTCTTGGGAATCAGTCCAGACCTCCTGAAGCAGAACCTGCAGTGCAGTGGAGTCCAGACCCTGAACCTCCTTCTACTATGCACTCCTGTGACTCCAATGTTTCTGATTCCAAGTTTCAAATGCCACTGCATTAGATTATAAACTCCTTGAGGGCAAGGACTGTCTTGTTCATAGTTCAATTTGTTTCTAATTGCAGGGTCATTATAGAGATTCAGTGAATGTTTATGACTAGCTAGCTCTGCATCGCCATGGCAACTGCCAAGGCTGCTTAGGACCACGACAGAGAACTACAGAGGTTATGTGCTTGTCTATTCCACTTCTTACTCCTTGAAACAATAGATTTTACTTATTTAAAAATGGTAGTCTGTAGGTTGCTAAGAATAGCTGGATTGTTAACTGATAAAGCTATTTTTGTTATAAGCTATTCGATTTTAAAGAAAGATGACTCGATTAAGAGAGCAAAAGAGGGAGTTGAGGGCCTTAGTCTAAGGACCTCAACTACACTGAGATGTAGTTCATACTAATTTAAGTAAAGTTGACAGACATAACTGTTAGCCTGAGGGAATATGATTCATTTAGAAATGCTATTCTGGCAAGAAAGGAAACTTCTTTTAAAAGATGGCTTTCAGTACTTGCCTCCTTTGTTTAGTTTTGGAAGAAAGGCAGCCAGTACAATGAAGAGACTTTGAAAATTCAGGCTCCTAAACAGTGATCACCCACCAAATTTGTCTAGTTAAGAGCAAAATCTGATTTCTCAAGAAGTTAAACTTTTTCAGGTTTTATAAGCACCAAAGTGGAGATGGAATTGAAATGGCTAAGGAAACACACACACACACACACACACACACACACACACACACACACAACCAGAAATTAAATTACTGACATTGTAGATATACATATTTTAATAGTCCCATTTTTTTCAAAAATGTCAATTTATTTTTATACCCAATTCAGTGTCAGTGATATACAAAAGGATATAAACAGATTACCATATTTACAGGAAGACATAAAAAACAATTACTAAGAAACAAATCTGGCAAAGTAACAAATCGTTGCTTATCCATGTCCACTCAACTGTACAAGGTTTATTCTAGGACAGTTTCCCAGTTCTCCGTGAAAGAAGTTACATGGATTTATACCTTCCATGAGGGTCAAGCAAACATTACAAGAGCAGATAGAATTATGTTTTACACTGACAGAAAAAAAAGCTTTTAAAGAACACTAATTTTCAGGCCAATGTTAGAGCATCAGCGAACTCATAGGCAAAATGTGACTTCATCAGAGCAAATGTTTCTCTCCCGTTGGCTTTCCTAAGATCCTCCTCCTCAAACTAGGGAGAAGGAGCTCTTTTCAATAACAGGTGACTGAGCCACACCCTACCCAACAGACAGTGTGGAGATTATCTATACACAATGAAGAAAAGGAACTGACACCCTTACCGACTAAATACAATCCTGATTTGGGACCACAGTTTCCAAATCCCACAAGGCAGACTTTATATGACCCATATTTTGTACAAAGCGCATTCTCTGGAGAGAAAATAGGGATAAATACTTCTAAAATTTTCACATTGCTCATCGAATGTACCTTTGACCACAGTATTTGGGAAATAGCAAAAACCTAAACTTAGCTGCACATTTTACCGAAGTCAAAGTTTAACGGAATCATCCCATCATCAGTCTCAAAAATCCAGTAGGTTAAATACCACAATCTTTAATGGAAGCAGAAAGACTTATTTTCTCCCAAAATGCCTCAGCCAGGGGCAGCACAGAGAATGGAATATAAAAAGCTCAGTGGCTTTAAAACATGGAACTCAATAGTTCTCAAGTCAACTTAGCCACCACTTTCTGGTCATCTAAGTAACTAGTTCATTTAAAATTCAAAAATAGATCAACTCCGCTTCAGGAAGGAAAAAAAAAAAAAAGGAGGAAAAAAAAAAAATGGCAATAGCCTAAATCTTCCAAACTCCTGAGGACTGGAGAACTGGCTCAAAGACACTTTAAAGGTCAACAGGATTCATTTATAATTTGGCATGTGCTGCCTGAAAAGGCTACAAATAAAAAGAATAAAGACATAACACATCAAGTAATCAGACAAATTGTAGACATACATACCACATTAAAGAGTCATATATAATAGTGTGCTGACTAAAGAAAAAATTGGGGGACACTTAGAGGGGAAAAATAGGAAAAAAATTACAAGGGAGCATTTCGGTCCAAAGCTAGTCCAGTGAATATCTATCAGTAGGATTTCTAATCTTTCATCTCCAAAGAATTTGAGCGAATAAATTATAAAATTACCTCGCTCACTTTTGTAACATCCAACATGCTCCCAAGTAATCCCGCTGACGTCTTGGTCTCACTTGCAATTTGGTGACTAAGTTGTTTCTGGCTGTAAAGATTTTCCTAATATATTTTAATTAGCCAGTTAACACGGCAAAGACTGCTCCCTCTGTGAGGCCAAAAAAGCTTCACAAAATAATTTGATCTAATGAAGATGAAGGATGGGAAAAAAGGGAAAGCTTCCTGGGTTTTCTTGCAAAATTTTTTCTCTTTCTTGAAAAACTCTGCAATCACTTAAAGTTTTATTCCAGAAAAAGAAAGCAAAACTAGTTGGGAAAATACCCATACACTTATTGTTTACTAACATGATACAAAATAAATTCATAGATGTCGGTCGATTGCCTTTCAAAAACCAAATGTGAATGTTTAATCTTGTAACTTAAGAACTGAATTTTTCCACATTCCTTTATATAGAGTTAGCATCTGTAAATTGAGACCTTTTTTGGACAATCATGCAAATTTAATTTGTCCCTGGAAACAAAAACACAACCTAACAGATTAACAAAATATGTCTTTCAGACAATATTTTTTCTGTGAACTTTTCTCCAGTGTTACCATTTTTATCCTTTAGTAAATAGAAACTACTCTAAAAAGTTTATGTATTTCAAGTTTAGAGAGCTAAACTCTCAGATTGACTAAGAAGACTAGATCAAGTCAGCCTATTTTTGCCTTCTGAACTGGCTCCACTCCTCCTAAAGGTAAATTCTAAAAATTTTCTTGTTATTATGATTAAGCTATATAAGTTAGAGACATTTCTACTACCATAGATGCTTCTGCAAAATTGAATAAAGATTTTATTATACCACACACAAAAAAAGCAACTGGGACAGAAAAGGCCGTTTTCAGTTATTCTGCTGAGAATTTCTTTCCATGATTTCTCCCATTAAAGTATAGCTTTCAAAGCAACCACTACGACAAAGGAAGCATCTAATTAGTCCATTTTCTTCTGATCCAAGAATGCTGAACATTTACTGTCCCATCTGTAGTTGTATCAGCAGTGTAATGAACACAGTTTATATTACTTAACTATTCTTTGAACTCCAAGAACTGTTGAAGTCTTTTCTGATGTTCTGCAGATGCTTGCACAGCACTAAATGAAACATAAATTCAAAGCATAAGCTTTATTTTACATTAAGCATATTAAGTGAACCACAGAGCACAGAGTCAATATTTTTCAAAACAATTAAAAATGAGTAGAAATCTTCACTTATTTAGTACTTCTGAAAAAGTTGGATGAAAACCCTCCTTAATCTAATGAAGAAGAGGGCCTGCATTCAGAAACGGCATGCTTTCACCTTCTAAAAGACCAAAGCAAATTAAGACTGACAAGTGAAGGCATCGATTTTAACCTGCTCTGCTGTGGAACCTGCTGTGCAGAGTTCCAGGCTTTGCAGTAGATTTTCTGGGTTTTATTATTTTATTTAAACCAGATTCCAACATTATCTTTGAGTTGTGGAGTATTTGAATTGCCTTTAATATAAAATCCTTTAAACTAAAATGTTTGGTTAAACATAATAGACTCCACTAATCGTTTTCAAAAGTAACAGCTTGGTGGTTTAGATTTACTTTTCCCTTTGAAAATAAATTATGTCTTGGAGGGGGAAATTGAGTTCTCTCCCCACTCTCACCCCCACAAAAAAACATTACCTTGACAAAATCAGGGCAAATATATAATGAAACTCGTATAAAACTTCCTTTTAAACTTCTGGGCAAAAAATGAATACAATGAAAAATTTTAATCTTCTAGTTGTTGAATAGTAATATATTATCATTGAATGATAAAAATCCAGGAACTGAATGTCACCGCTTTTTAAAATGTCAAAGAGTCTTATTATAATAATTTTGCTACAAATCATTCTAAAAGTCCTTGTACGTACACATCTCTGCTTTCTTAAACCATATAGCTGCCTCTAATTGAACCATTTCAAGTATTTTACTGTGTAGATTCAATCTCCTCTAGGTGTTAGTGAGGCTGTCATCTCTAACTAAATGGCTCTGAGCTCTCTCAAACACCAAGTCTACAGCTTTTCTTGTGATTCTTGCCTCTGCTAGCAGGTACTGCACTATACCTTACTACTGTTAGTACTCCTGACTCTAACAGCTGTCTTTTCCCCTCAAATTTTAATGTTATAGGCTGGAAAACCAGTAAATCAAATTTGCCTAAATTAAGAGTAAATATATAATACTGTATGTCAATTGTAATTGAAAAATAAATTAAAAAAAAACAAAGAGTAAATAGGTATTAAATGAGTGTCTCCAACGAGTAATTAGCCTGTGTTAATTTTCACACTTCAAGAGTTTTTTTATACCTGGTTCTCATAGGTGGCGTTTTGGATAATGAATAAATTAGGTATTATACAGTAATAATAGTTGTTGTCCCAATAATACAAAATGTACCAGGTGGGCTTTATATATGTATTTTATCTCTAAGGACAGCAAATGGAACAAAGTGGGATAAATAACATACCCTTTTTTGTGGGAGGGTTAAACAGTAGCAGAAAGGTTCAAAGTTTAAGAGACACAACACAGCCTGCTAGTTAGGAATGTAGACAGTAAGGAGTAAGAAAGATCTGATCTGAATTCTGGTTTGGCAACTGACTACTTGCATAATCTTGGGCAAGTTGCTTAAATCATTAGGTAACTTACCTATAACCACAGATAATCAATAATGTAACCAAACATATCCAAATGTTTTAACTCCAAATCAAGTATATTTTTCCACCATACCATTCTGTCCTATATTTGTACAAAAAAGTATCTACTGACCTCATCAATTTTAGTGCATATATAAAATATGGCTCTTCTCAGAGAAACAAAGGCAGAGTTTCATTCTTATAATTTTTTATCAGTCATCTATCTCCTTTTCTTATCTAAGAAATCTCTATTTTCCCCATTTTTGTTCTATAATCAATATACATCATGTATCTATTTCATTCTCTAAATTCACCGAGTGTTTTCTGAGAGTATCCTGCATAGCAGTTTATAGCTCAGAGGCAGTCTGGTTGTATACAGGGAAAGAAGTGGAATTTTAAAAGCAAGAAAGACCTGATTTTGGGTTCATGTTCTAACACTCACTGGATTGTGCTATTAAGCAAGTTTTTAACCTCTTTGGGCCTCGGTTTCCATATCTGTACAATTATGATAATCTCTACACCTCACAGACTCTTTGAGAAGAGCATATGAAAAAAACATAAACATATAAAGTGCTGAGTGTATTGTCTGGAACAGCACTGTCCAAGAGAACTTTCTGCAGTGATGAAAATGTTTTGTATCTAAGCTGTCCAATACAGTAACCACTAGCCATATGTAGTTATTGAGGACTTGAAATGAGGCCAGTGTGGATGACTAACTTGATTTTTAATTTAACTTTAATTAATTTAAACAGCCATACTTGGTTATCACATTGGAGAGTACAGATGTAGAAGGCACTTGATAATAGATTTTATTTTTAAGCAAGTGAATAAGCCTCTAAAGGATAGCACTCACTTTGGCAGCATATATATTAAATCTCTTAAAGACAGAGGGCTATCTACAGCTCTTTTGTATCCCTACGCAGAACCAAAGTGTGCCATAAAACTTGCCACTGCTGCTGCCTACTATTATGGAAGTAAAAGAAAATATACTACTGTGTCTAAAAGCAGGTATATGAGGAAGTTCTAAATTATTTATTGATTACATACAGAAAGAGCAGAGCAATCTCCCATGTCTTCTAAAGTTCATTTAAAATTATGGTAAACTCAGTTTAGTTAATAAACTAGTATCTCTTATCCTGACTAGCTAGGTTATTTCATGAGAAGAAAGCAGTAAACATCTATGAAACTAAATATAAACAGGTTTGGCATTTGTGGTTTTCTTTCTGGCTCCATGTCTGAAGGTGTTGTGATCTGTCACTGTTTTTCTAGCATGATTCACAAAGCACCAAGGACTCATTTATGGAATACTCGGCTCACCTCGAGTCTTAGTTTTCTGACCTAGATGTAATAACAGAAATTTTTTGCCCTTTTTTTTCCCTTAAGGATGTTTTGGTGATTTAAAGAAACAGTATTACATTTGATGCTTTTATAACTTTCTATCCTCTATTTTTCTTCATTTGAAAGAAGGCCCCAAAGCTTATATGACAGGCCAAATTTTAAAATATAAATATTAAGTCTAAATTTAAGCTGTTCATTCTCAGTAGGAATCATGAATGTCGCAAAAGAACATACCTATTTCTCAGGGGAACTCCTGAAAGTGAATTATCATCAGAGACCAAAACAGGTAAACTTACTTCAGATGTTCACCAAATGTAGTAGTTATTCGATAGATGGCAGTTTTTAGTGAGGCTCTAAATGCAAATCTTAATGTTTTATAAGAAGTGTCCACAAGGCTTCCCGAAATCCGAGGTGATTTACTGGAAGCATGAGGAAGCTTGAAGTACTTGTCAACTGCCTAGATCAAGAATGAAAAAAAATACATTAGTTCAGACTACCAAGAAAGCCAACTTAGGCCAAAGGATTAAGGAGATTTTATTTCAGATAGACAGACAGACACATACACAGACATACTACAAAATATTTATTTTGGATCACAAATGGTTTGAAAAACAATGCAGTAGAGGTTCAGCCACTTCAGAAGTTACCAGGAACAAGTCCAGACCTTCCTCTAAAAAGAAGCTATACTTCACAACGGCTTTGAAGATGCAAAGCTGGGCAGTGAAACACAGATATCCTACTCTGCTTACGATGTATAAAGGTAAGAGTACTTTTATTATAAAATAAAGCTCAGCAAAAAAAAAAAAAAAAAAAGACTAAAACTTTATATTTTATATAAATGAAAGTTATTTACTAAACTGTCTTATCTTCCTTTTCAATTCTATATGATAAAACATCTATGAACAATAATAGGCGGGGAGAGAATTAAAAAATGAAACTGATTTTACTTAGAGTTGATAGAATAAGAAAGATTTAAGTATATCTTTTAAGGCCAAAGGTAAATATCATTTTTAAATAACTATGTTAAAAGACAGAAGTGAAGATAGAGAAGTATAAGTATATTAATCTACTACAGCAAGATAATGTCTAATATGACAATAGTAAAAGCCTATTATTTATAGTAATGGATATAACCACTAAAAGAAATAAAACAAGTTAAAATGATTTCTGCCATCACATTTTTAATTTCATCATTTTTTATCTCATCTAAGTGATCCTTTTTATTTTAGCATCCTATTTTCGTTTCAAGGATATAATATTCTTATTGCTAAGGACTCTGATAAATTTTGTGGTTTTACTTTAGTTTTGTTTTTTGTTTTTTGCTTATTACACTTTCTTACAAGTTATTTTTCCCCATTTGCTTTTCTCTTTATCTTCTTGCATTAGAGACCTTCCTCAGGAATCTAATGACCCTTGGCTTATCACTGCATGGGACCTCCTAAAGAGCTGACCAAAAGCTCTGAGTACAAGGTTGAAGATTATTGACAACAGCCTTCACAAGAGGTGATCTGTGTGGACTTTTGTGCGGTGACCCCCCAACTCAGTAACTTTAAGTCTTTTCTCTTGGATTGTTTGCAGTTCCCAGAGTAGAGCTTTCCAGTAGCCTCTGTGGAGGGCCTGGTCTCCAGTACTCAAGCAACCAATTGGAGAACAGAGCTACTGAGCACATCCCTTGCTTTTACTGTGGTACCCACAACTGTGTCTGGACTCTTATACAGAGACCCAATGTTCTACTCTCTCTAGAGGATAAACTTCGACTGCTGCTGGAATGAGGGAGGAGCACCACCGGCAAAGAGGATCTATGGATCTAACTGGTTTTGAAACAGCTTTCACCTAAACTTCTTTATTTTGGTACCTGTCTCTTTATCCTTGGTTCCAGAGATACTGGTGCTTGTTCCACTAACAATTTCAGATTTGCTTTTGGGAATCTGCTAAGTCTTTTATCTCAACCATCTGCTCTCCAGCTTTGAAAATTTTGTTGCTGCTGTCTCTTCTGTTTGTAGATTTATGTCTTTTTAAAAGTCCTTTTACTGTAATTTGGTAGAGTTTAAGGAAACAAGATTCGATATGTGTTCAGTATGCCATGATAACTTCAAGTCCAATTGTGTATTCTTTCAAAAGTAACTTATAAGAGTGTTTCCCAAGAATGGGACACACTTGAGATAATTTTAGGCAGTATGAGAGGTGGTATTCAGTGACATATTTAAGCAACATTAAATAACACTGAATCACAATGGAAAAGTTACTTCCTTCTCGATTTTCTTAGAAACCTGATTAACTCTCAGTATGTCAGGAAAAATAGTCATCATCATTTACCACCTTGGTCTAATGGAATGTTTTTATAGTTTAAAGTCATTTTATAAAAATACAAGAATGACAAGATAATGTAAAATAATTTCATAGAAATTTAAATAAGAATATAAATATATTTCCATGTTCTGAAGCTATATACATCTGAAATGGGCAATGTCCTTTGAATGCAAGTAGCTGCTCATCAGCTATCATGCATCAACCTGGAACATATCCACTTCATAATATTGATTTCAAATTGAAAATATATCTCTAACAGGTTCTAGTTTATCATTATTTCTGGTTCTTTTTCTTTCATTTGTAATATCAAATTGCAATATTTAAAAAAACCTTTTGACAGCTTATAATTTTGTTGGAGAGCTCAACCATTTCCTTTGCACCATGATTGCAAAACATTTTCATTCTTAGATTTATAAAGAAAAATTCAAAAGATTAATCCAGTGATTTTTTTCATTTTGATATCATCTATGCCTTCTAATCACCTTGTATACTTTCAGCATTTATCCACTTATCAACTGTATGGTAAATTTTGGTGCACAAATTTCATAGAAGATGAAAGAATATGGTCATGTGTACTTTCAGCAAAATGAGATGATTCAGGTTCTTACTTATATTGTGGAACAAAGTCCTTCCTGTTGAATGAATGACTTACTAGGTGAGAATATCATGTGTATTTCCTTTTTCTCTTTAAAAATATAATGTTCTGTCAACAATTTCTGAGTCTGAGCAAATATATCTAGATTATCATCTGAAAAGTCAGTCTGAAATTCCTCTTCTATGATCAAGTTCACCATCACCATTAAAGACCATAACTGTGCTGTCCAACATGGTAACCACTAAGACACATGTAGCTACTGAGCACTTGAAATGTGGCTGGTCTGAATTGAGATATACTGTAAGTATAAAATATATAACAGATTTTGAAGACTTACTATAAAAAAAAAGTCTCATTAATAATTTTGTATTGCTTATATAATGATAGTATTTTAGATATACAGAGCTAAATAAAATATATTATTAAAACAAACATCACTTGTATTTTTTAAATGTAACTACCAGAAAATGTAAAGTTATATATGTGGATTGCATTATTTTTCTATTAAACAGAGGTAGTTTAGAGTATCCTTATCTGTCTCTTTGCATTCATCTTCTGATTTATCTAAATAACAATTTAACATAATGGAAATTTTCTTCCCTTTACCATTGTGGGTGAAAATTTTTAAATTCTGAATTAGCAACCATATTCAATGAAACCTTTAAAAAAAGACTATAAGGATGTGCGTCCAGACTTATATACCTTTTCTTGAAAGATGATGCAATACACTGCATGATTTCATCATTCTTCTTTTTACCACAGTTGGAAATAACTGATGATTAATAATGAAATAATTCCTAAGATGATCAAATAGTAAATTGGTTCAAAATATTGGAAATGTAAATCACTAAAATTTTAAAAGGGTCTAAAGGGTAAATTGCAAAAGCATAAGTTTTGTTGAATTGTTTTCTCTGTTCCTTGAAGGACCTCTAAGAAAGAATAAAAGTAATAAAATATCAAATTTTACAAACAGTTGGAACAGCATAAAACAGAAATGCAAAAAATAAATTAGGTCCAACAGAGCCTAATGGTTAAATCAGGGAGTAGAGTCTCAGTTTGAAGCTAATGTGTTCTTTTGTTTATTTGTTTGTTTTTTAGGCGAGGCAACCCTTGGCTGACCTCACAGATTGCAAAGACCTTGTCAGCTTACGATCCCTTATTTTTTATTTTTTACACCTACAGCACCTGGTCTTCCTAGGTGGTCTCCCATCCAAGTACTAACCAGGCCTGACCCTGCTTAGCTTCCGAGATCAGACGGGATCAGGCTTGTTCAGGGTGGTATGGCCATACTCGTGTTCTTAACAAATCTTTAATCCTAATTTCCTTTTATAATAAAGAATAATCAGACTACAGGTTCAGGGACTTCAGCAAACAACTGTATCTAGCTAGAGCTTAAAATTATTTTCTTTTCTCACTTTAATCCTCAATACTGAAGGCCAAAAAGCCCTGAAAACAAACTTTTGTAACTCTATTCGTGGCAAAAGCTGACCTGACCTGACCTCATCTGGCAGTGAAACCTTACTTGAGCTGACAGGCTATTTATAGTTTTTATTCCACTTAATATAAATATTCAGATATTTCATTGGAGATGGGTATTAACATATCCGATTAAGCGAATTCTACTTCAGATACCAATAGGAGTGTTATATAATGTATGATATGTATACCACATGTTACGTTTTAAAATCCAAAAAAACCTGAATTTCGAAATCTATTCTAGGGTTTGAGAGAAGGGACCTTAAACCTGTATTCTATTTGTAGCAAGTCAAACTAGTTTTCCTTTTACAACAGTGATATAAAGTTTCCTTTTAAATAAATTTAAATTAAAAATGAATGACTTAAAATACTAAATACTTTGGGTGGTATATAAATGACTAAAATTATAACAATAGAATGTTGAAATAAAAAGTTATAGCAAAAACTGTGAAGGTAGTTTGTGAATAACAAATCTAGGAAACACTGGTTTATAATATTTAATGATACACCTCATGGTTAGAACTGAAGTACTTAATCAGTAGAGATTAAACAAGTATCTACTGAGCACTCATTTTATGCATTACATATGCTTCATGCTCTGAAGCTTCAGATCACACAAATGGAACTCAAATATTTAGTTAAGAATTATCCCAAATAATGAGAAGAGTAAGTGGTGAGTATAATATACCACTGAACTACATACTCTTCAGGAAAAATTAAGAATTCCATAAAGGCCTTTCCTTTAGACTCAACAGAAGCCTAAAGAAGGGTTGTACTATAAAAACAGATGCTCTTTGCCCATTTATATTTATATGCAATAGTATATGCATAGAAGCCAAATAAAGAGAAAATTCCAGGTGTTCTATCCTGAATATTTACCTATCAGAGCCATTAAAAAATGTTCATTGTGCAGAGCCTTGAAAGTCCCTGGTCTGTCTCAAGGCTCTTACTTAAAACCTAGTTAAAACAAGTTTATTCCACTAAAGCCGGAGCCCCAAACAAATGCTAAGAACAGATTTTGTTGTTGGAAATGATGACTAATAGAGCAGTTTTTCAACCTCAGTACTATTGATATTTTGGACTAGATTTTTGTGAGGGCTGTTTCTGTGCATTATAGGCTGTTTAGCAGCATCCCTGGCCTCAACACAATAGATGCCAGTAGCACTTCCATAGTCATGACCATCAAAATGTCTCTAGACATTGCCAAACATCTCCTAAGGAATAAAATCACCTCTGCCTGAGAACCACTGCTATAGAATAATAATATTAGATGATGATGGCCAGATACCATATCAGATGCTAGGGATACAGAGATGAGACAAGGTCCCTGCCTCTACTCCAACTAATAGATAATAAAAGTAAATGGAAAATAAAAATACAGTGCAATAAAGTGTTGAGATGGGCGTTATGGGGCAGAACTAGACAAAAGAAGAATATGCTCTAGGCGAAGAAGGAAAGAAAAGATATCACGTATAGTGTTAGAGTTAGGTTAACAAAATAAAACATATTTGAGGGGAAAACTGAATGGTCAGTCCATGGTGGTTATTAGATCAGAGGACTCATGGGAAAAACAGGAGAGTAAGTGGCTAGAGTCAGAATGAAGAATCTCTATTAAGAGTTAGTAGGGGCAA